TACGTACGGAGGACCGGTTCGGTTTGGTTCGTACGAAGGACGGACGGTTAGGTTTAGTTTAAGGTTAACGTACGTTACTTCGGTCGTTACGTAATACTACACTAACCTACCTCTCTCTCTCTCTCTCTCTCTCTCTCTGTCTCTGTCTCTAACATATTTGAATTTGGCTTGTGCGCAGGTTAAACAGAAGTTTTCAACCTCAGGAGTTGTATTAGGGGATGATGTGTTGAGCTTGGTGGTAGAGCCGAACATAGACCATTCAGTTATCATGGCCCTTGTGATTGTATATAGCCTCGTAAATAGCAAGATGTGAAGCTCCATGGCCACAAGCTCAAGCGTCATGGTTTAGGGTCCCTTAAGTGAGGGAGTAATGAAAAGCATAATAGGGTGACAAAGGTTTTATCGCCAAGAAGAAGAAGAGCACAACACCCCAAGAAATTGAGGAACACATTCAAGGCAAATCACCTCTTATCCCAATGTCAATTGTTTGGCTTTGGATATTGTTGTGGGCATTGTGCTGTGGAAATTTTTGCATGATTCAACCTGTGTATAGGATTTTTTTTTTTAGGCGTCAAGTTTGAGCTGATTTGATTGTTTTTGTTAGCCTCAACAATGAGATAATCTCCAAATTGTATAGCGTGCATTTTATTGAGAAGTAAATAAGAGAAACTCTTATTTTTATTTTATTTTTGGGTAATTCAGTGGGGGAAGATATCCGCCTACCCGTTTTTACGTTTTTCAAATAGGTAGTTTTTTTTAAGGTGTTTGTGGGAATGGAAACTGGTGGCTAGGGTGTGGGGGTGCTATCACCACGACCCGAGCCCTTTTCAGTGGGAATGAAAACCACTCTTAGACTCATGCTTGATTGTATGTTAACAGCTAGTTTGGGAAGTAGATAAGGAAAAGCCCGGTTCCTAAGTAAGGGCATTTCGTATGTGCAAGAACAAAAATTTTCCATTCAAATTTGAAGATAGGGTTGGCAATGGCTAGAATGGGCCTGATCCGTAGAGGACCATTCTAGCCCATCCCGGTCCAGACCGGGCTAGGCCCTGGCACTATTCGGGCCATGCTGGTCTTATCATATGGCCTTGCCTTGGCCGTTAAGGACACATTTTGTGGCCCAGGCCCTAATTTTTCAGGGGCCGAGCCAAACGGGCCCAACTCGGCCAATCAGACCATTGCCAGCCCTATTTGAAAACAAAAAGCGCTAGCCATCCAAAAATCTTCCGCAATCACATTTCGAAGTATTTTTAGGACCTCAAAGTTCCATACCCTCTAAAACCTAGAGACCAACCTTAAACAAAACAAATTCAGATCAACCTAAAACAAAGAAATTCATTTGCATTCCCATGGAAAACCAACGTTTTAAAATTGCACAAGGAAATTATTCAAGTTCTCTTAGACACAAGTATAAGTGTTTAGAAACTTAAAGTTAATTTCAAATTTTGAAAATACTTTTGATTCGAAAAGCAGATAAAAAAGTAGAATCCCAAATTGTACATGGATGAAGTACTCCAGGAATAAGCCTTTTAATGAGAGTATCTATAGAGTACACCAGTTTGTGTAGGTTGTTTGAAAAAAAAGGTTGTTATGTAGGCTTTGATCTCAGTCTCTGTCTCTCGATTGTAGAATATGATCTCTCTCGATTGATATATAGAATATGATATCACTCTCTATTTATGGAATATGATCTCTTTTTCTCTAAAAACTCGGATTTTGAGGCAATAAATATGCAATCCGTTGGGATATGTCGAGAAATATCAGTTATGTTAGAAGTTTGATGGTACTTTTGTCTATTTGATGGACAAAACTAGGGAAATATAATTAAGGAAAATTGCTTCATGTGGGCTGGACCGCATTTCTACAATATGCAGTCCCATATGTATAAATCATCCATTTAAAGTGTAACTAACGGTCCAAACGTTTTCTTAATACAATTATTATTTCTTATTTGCAATTTTTTTTTTTTCATATTCATGATCCCCATGTTAAAGATTATATATTCTCTAAAAATTAGTATCAAATTATATTTAAAAAGTATATTTATTGCCAAGCTCACATTTCTACAATATGCAAGCTAGCCGCATAGAAACTGTGTTCATATATTAGTGAGATCATTTACCCTGGTTATAAGGTGGTTACAATTAATCTTGACTATTGGATCTAAAATTGGGTGGCGGCATCTATTTCATTGATCCTTTGTAATACATCTAAGTTAATAGATTTTATGTCGGATAGTTATACATAATTGTGACATCCTTTTCCCTTGGTATAATCAAGGAAAGATTAGGGCTCAAACATTTTAGAATCTCTGAGCTGGTTTTGGGTACTTCCACGCGAAAAACTCACACCTATTGCTCCCTCGTTTTTGCTTCTTCCATGGAAAACACTTTTAGCACTTTTTTTTTTTTAACGAATGACTTTAGGAGCATTTTCTGGATCTAAAATTTTGAGATCTACGTTTTTAACTTTATTTTCAAGATGTTAACTTGGGACATTGATAGAAATGAACTCGAATGCCATGATGTAGAACCCTGCCGACCTGACTGCACAGGTTTAGAGATCATTCATAATTTTGGGATCCACTTTAGAATCATCCGGGTATTGCGGAAAAGAAAATTTGATTATGAATTTCTAAATATTTAGATCAAACCATTGAGAAAGTAGATATTCTCCATCCAATTTTAAGTTTTTTTTCCCGGCACATATAAAATACCTTTTTCTTCCTCTAGAATATCGTATTGCTTTCTGACATTGGTTGCTAGGTTGAAGAAGCTCCTTCAAATTTGGGTCATCAAAATACTTCTAGATAGGGTTTTTACCCAATTTCATTATGTCTTTTAATTTCTCAATCAAGGCCCTGATTGGGAGGGTTCCTATTCATGGTTAAGGGCTATTTCCTAAATAAACAAAAAAAGAAGCTCTAGTATGTCCAAACCGTGACTTAAGTTTTTTAAAAAATTACCACCAATAATTTCAACAAAATTTTAGACAAATTGGGCAGTGGTATCAGTGGATCATTTTTTAGGCTGAGGGATTGTGTGGTTTGCATAAGGCTGAGGCCCTAAACAATCAAAGTAAAGTGCACCTTCAAATAGTGCCAAAATATGTTGTTTTAGTATGAGAAATCTTTATGATGACCCGAAAAATTCATTTTAATCTCTAATTATAAAACTTAAATATTCAAAATAGTGTAGTTTGAACATATCTATGAACACTTGAAAAAGTTGAAAATTGACGGTATGGATAATGCATTACAAGATGCACTATTTCCAATACTTAAAATCTATTTTTCCTCGTGTCCATAAATCTTGAGGTTGAGACGATCTAATTTGAGGTTTTTCAGCATCAAAACAACCCTTTTCTTGTGGATATTTAGGGCGCGCCTTAATTTGATTGTTTAGAGCCTCAGCCTAATATAAACTTTTTCCTTATCCAAAACCGTGGAGTAAACCATAAGTGTTTTCACGATCCCGCTGGACCACAAAAAAAAAAAGGACCTTGAGGGAATCAGTTCTCCTATTTCATCTTGCCACGTGAATCAAATTTCTCCTCCTTAAGATATGGAAAGATGTTTCTGCTGAAATGTCAGAATTCATTGAAAGTATCTTCTCTAACTGTCAATTGTGGCATAGGATGAGATGTCATGAAACACAATCGGTTGTGACATGGGCAATCAACTGGAATCATATCATATTTCTCAATCGAGATTTCATCTGAATTTATTGAGAGTAACGTTGGAACTGTTCAAGCATTAAAAAAAAAAAAAAAAAATTCCGTTGTATTGGTGCACTCAAACTATTCTCTGTGATATTCTTCTTTGCATTAGTTATTGTTGAGATACTGTGAAAGTTTGGGTAAGAATAGGTAAAGGGAAACTGTATCATCAGTCATGGTGTAGAACTTCCTATCCTACAATTAACATCTTCTTGGCTACACTGGAGGGCTCAGGATGGCTGATGTGAACACTTTCATCTGATCCTTTAGGAATGGTCCACATTAGGTGTCTCATGAACTGCTAGTAGATTTATGTCCACTACACCAGTGTTTGATTTTATGAACCGGCCTTAGAAACCGGCTAGGTGTTGAGTCCGGATAACCCAAAACTGGTCTAGGTAACTAGCTTCAGTCGGGCAAGTACCGGCTATGCAAAAATGTGTTCAAAATTTAAAACGAACAAAAAAATTCAAAGAAATATTAAATATATGTTTAAAATAAGATTGAACAAAACGCATCTAAATGAGGTTTAAAAGCTAGTAAAAAATTTTATTTTGAAAAATCAATATGTGACTGGGGGTATTTTTGAAATAATCTAAAAATATAAAAATAAGCATTCCTAGCATAAATATTTTCCAATCTTTTTTAAAATAATGGAACACATAAAAAAATGGAAAACGTTTATATAAAGTTGCAACTTTAAAATGTAGAATTACAAATACACCTCAAAAATCCATCGGAAAAGGTTGTTTTAATGTTGTAAGAACTTCTAATTGATCAGCTCAGCATCGAGATGTATAAATATGAAGAAAAAAAAAACGATATTTAATCTCCAAAATAGTGCATCTTGCAATACATTATCTAGACCGTCCATTTTCAAGATTTTCATATGTTTATAGATCTACTTGATTTTAACCATTTTTGGAGTTTAAAATTTTATAATTAGATATGAAAATAGATTTTGAGGTAATCGTAAGAATGTTTTACACCAAAATTACATGTTATGATAAAATTTGGAGGTGCGCTTTAATTAGATTGTTTAAAGTTGCAACCTTATAAAAACCGCACCCGAAAAAAATTGTTACAACGAGTTGGACACCCAACTGAAGGATACCCCTAGCGCACTGGAGTTACTCAGGATAGTTAAGCAAGACTCGCTCGCTTAGTTGAACACGACGTTGCAATGTAATAAGAGATAAAAAAATAACAAAATATTCAAAGCAAAAATTAATATAGCATATTACTTGTTTATAATTAACTAATAGATACGATATATTGTTAAAAAGTTTAACTTCAAGGAATTGAGGCCCCATTTGGCATTTGTGTCCATATTATAATGCCATTTGGTAAACTAATTTGGAGATCACTTTATATAATTGTAAATTTTATAGTTTGATAGAGTTATTCTATATTATCATGATCATCATTCAAGTCTTATAATGTCAACCAAAAGTGTTTCCAAAAATACAAAAAGTTTTAATGCTTTAATGCTCCAGGTTGCTTTAATGCTATATTCCTTTTTTTGATAATAAGGAATATAGCATTATAAACTTGAGCATTTATAATGTCAACCAAAAGTGTTTCCAAAAATACAAAAAGGAATATAGCATTAAAGCAATAATATTGTTAATATATAGTTATATTTATAGCAATGTAATCTACAATTATAACTACTTGTGTAAGAAGTATAATATTAGTATAATGTTACAATTATATTAATTATCATCACGTTAATTATTATTGATAAATATTATTAGTTGATACAAAAAATAAACAAAATTGTACAATTTTTATGTATTATCAATAAATTTATATAATTATCATTAATTGATAATAGAGACACCGGTTTGATTTGCATAGGGGTTAGGTACTCATTCTCGGCCGGCGATATCATTGTTGAGTGATCGCTCGCTATCTAGCTGGAAAAGGAGGTCTGGAAGCTTCCTCTCTCCCAGCAATAACTTTAAATTTATATCTAT